ATATTGTACGATGTGTTGTTAATTTAACACGTAACACTTTAATACTCGTTCTCTCGTATCTTATTATTAATAGAATTCATTTATTTTATTTCATTTTTCATTTTATTTGTGTTAATCTATTGTATATATGTGTGTGTTTTTTTTGTCATTGGAATTAAATCAAATGAACAATTTGATTTTGAAGGATAACGATTATATATACTTCATCCTCTTACTTTGATAAATGTTATATATATATATATATGTATATACACACACAGAATAGATCATTCTATTACTTTCACAGACAGGATAGAAGTAATACTTAGAAAGATCGAACTTATAGCACAACTGGCGAAGATCACGATCGTCGCACGATCATGCAGCTTAGTATCTAGTTAAAAGAATATTTCAACAGTTTTGTATCTCTCGACATATTGAAGAATCTTTTCACGACTTTTTCTTTTTCTTTTTCCTTTTTTTTTTACCGAGATACACGTAAGAGTATTACTACCATTACGATAATGTCGTTAAAATAAAAGGGGGGGGGCGCATGACTTATCATTCCAATAAAAAAAAAAACCAACTGTGACATATGAATAAGATAATAAAAAAGAAATGAAAATATTAGACAAATGTGTGTGTGTGTCTGTGTGTTAACTTGGTAATATTTTATTATTTTTAATAACTAAATAAATTGTCAACCGACGATATTATTAATTTCTATTATTTCTATTTGACAATGCAACAATTTCGATTATAATTATTACTTTTTATTATTAATACCAACGATTATTTAAATATATAATTTAATAATGTGATTTAAGAAATAATTGATTTATTCAAACAAACCAGCTGTGCTTCTTGTTTCTCTTTCTCTGCTTTTTTTATTTCAATTTTATATTTTAACAAGAACGAGCACGATCAATTTGTTGATAGATTGGAAAAGTTTTACTCATACGTATGTATGTATCATCTTTGCGAATAATTATCGTGAGAGAAAGAGAGAGAGAGAGAGAGGATTCACGGGAATCGATCGTCATAATTTATTATTTATCTTACCCCACATATATAAATGTGAAATGTTTGATAATATGTATACACAAACGTGTATATACATGTGAGTGTATGTATAATATAGAATATCGCGTAATGTATATATGTATATATATATATACACACACATACACATACTTAACCGACAACGAGTTTCCTGTTGATTTTAGAGAAACTTTCGACAAGCTTCCTCTTACGATTTATCGTTTATTCTTCATTATCGGCAATAATTATGAACGATCGTTCATCCGTTTGATGATTTCACGGAAAAACTCGTGGATTAGAAAGATCGAACGACTTTAATGAAATCGATCGAGTATTTTCTTTTTTTTTTTATTATTGTTTCTTAAACAATTATATTTGCACAAGTAAATTTGATGCAAGAAAAGAAAAAAATATAATAGATTGTAGTTTGTGTTACGATAAAAATGTTTTGTTTCAAACGAGTTTATTATTTAATAATCGTACGATTATGTATGTATGCGTGTATGTATGTTTGTGCTATAGATGAATGAGTGCATAAATGATGAGCCCTGCAATTATAGTCTGTTTTGAAATAAAATAGTCAATATATATATATTTATATATAAATAATTATTTCAGTCTGCATCAAAAAGTTGCATCACAAAGGTGCATCAAAATTAAATGCTGACCATTTCTTGAAAATATTGACACAATAAATTTCAATCCTAAATCTCAACTGTAAAATAAATAAAATCGTTCTATCCTATAGTAATATTTAACAAGGTTGCATTATAATTGCATCATAATCACGAATACTCCTACCACAAATGCTGATCAAATTTATTTAAATTACCAAATAACACAAAATACTGACCAAATAATAAATTTGAACTCGTAATATAAATGATAACGTGTTTTATCTTATGGTGGTCAATATTTGAAATAAATGATCGATTTATATTTATAATGTAAAACAAGATTACGTCAGAGTTGCATTAAAATAACAGAATTACAGTTAATATTATATTAAATTTAAATGCTAACACGAAAAAAATTATTGATAAATAATACGGGCCAAATAAATTTCTGAAATAATCGTAAATAATTAGATATGTAAATAATACGAAAAATAAAAATAAAAAAAAAGGAAATAAAAAAAGAAATAAAGAAAAAGGAATCTTTTTTGTTATCCACACGTTCGTCGATTTCGTATCACGTAGACACTTACAAGTCGCATAAATCATACCTTTTACCATCGGAAACCTCCATTTCGTAGAGCACAAAGCCCCGTGTCAATGTTTCTGAGGAGGCCACGATAAAAGAAAGATCCGTCGATGTTCTGCGGTGTTTCACCTTCGAAATATTCAAACCCTTTTCTTCTTTTTCTTTTTCTTTTTCTCTCGTTTCCTTTTTTTTCTCTCTTTCTTTCCCTTGCCACACAGGCGCGTGTTACGAATACTATTTGACGATAAGAAGAGATATTGCAGAGAATACAAGTTGAAAGTTTGACAACAATTGCATTATCGAATCTTTTAACGTTTGGTCACCCGAAAGAAACCTTCGTGAATTCGTTTAAAGTATTTTTAACTTTTTCTCTTTTTTTTTTCTTTTATTTTTATTTATCCAAACCCAAGCAAGCGCACTCTCCTCGTTTCTGAATACGTGTGCGTTAAGTATCGATAAAATTAAAGTATAAAAGAAGAAATAAAAATCAATTCTACGATAATATATAGAACAAAACATATTTTTATTATGCAACGCTCGTATTTATGTTAATCAATTATTTTTCATCGTTTATTCAAAATTCATATTTAATTAGCATCGTAAATCTAAACGATCTTATTTTTGTTGTTGTTGTCTCCTCCCCCTTGAAGTCTGATTGAGTTTTACGAGTAATATAGAATTACAATGGTTAATCCGTGTCATTGAGTTACGAAAGATCAAGGAAAGCTTCTATTTCAGGCTTGTTTCCAACACACATACACACACACATATACGTGCGAGAGAAAATTAACCTATTGTACCCTGAAGATTGAAGACAATTATTAAAAGAAGAAAAAAAAAAAATAATGAAATAGAGATATAAAACACAAATGATATCCAATATATATATATATTGTTATTATTTTAAAACGATAATAAAATGTTGAATTCTATCGATTTTGTTCAGAATTCTCACGGACTCTCTCTCTCTCTTTCTTTCTCTCTCTCTCTCTCTTACTCGTAACGAGACACATCGAAACCGATCGTGAATTCGATTCTCGTATTTGTACGGCTTATTCACGAAGCAAACATAATCGTAGCTTACCCGGGTGTGTAACGGTAAAAAAAAAATAAAAAAGATCAACGTGCATTCGTGTATTAAAGTTACAACGTGCATGTTCTTCGAAAAAAAAAAACAAAAAAGAAAATTAAAAAAAAAACACACACACACACACTAAAATTCTCTTCAGAAATTTTCCCAAGAGTTTTATCACAATTTCATATATATATATATATATAATATACTTTTAATCAAAATTACAAATAGGGGGGGGAGAGTATTATTTTGAAGGGGTAGAAACACAAAAAATTACAAGCCCGGATATTTTTCTTCTTTTCTTTTTCTTTTAATTTTCATTCGTACGATTAAATCGATTGATTGGAAAAAAAAATGGAGAAAATATTTTAAATAATAGAAGAGTAGGGAGGGGGGGGCAGGGAAGAAAATTTATTCGCAACAAAAAAATGAGAAAGAAGAAAGATGAGGGATAATAACCGTGAAGATAACCTTTAAACTCTTCCCTCCACCCCCCGTCACCCCATCCCTTCTACTTCCATTTAACCACCTCTTAAGATTCAATGAACAAATAATAGTCATGATGGGATAGAGTCTGTTCCGTGTCGAATTCCGTGAGGACGAGCAGGTAATTTACATTCACTTACGGAACGAACGTACGAACAAACGTTCGTTCAAACTCTGGTCGGAATGAATACGACTTAATTAATCAATTAATTGACCGTTGTCCGTTTGTTCAGTTAACCAAACGATCATCAAACGGTTAGCTTACCAATTCGTTTGTTTTTGGGGTCTTTTACTGTCTCTCTTTCTTTCTCTCTTTCACACACATACATATACACCTTTGTTTCACACTGACGTTTATATTATATAAACGAAAGGAATTTTAGTATAAAAAGAAAAGTTTATTTTAAAGTTTAGATTTAAAATCAAAGTATGTAATATTTTTTTATTTATTTATAGACCGTACCTTTCGGTTTTGGAGAGTTTTTGATACAATTTTTCTTTTTAGAAAAATTCAACAAACAGATCTTATACAATTTATATTTCAATATATTTAAATTTTATACAAAACTAAAACTAAAATTAATTTTTGAACTAACTAACAATATATAACATTAATAAAAAGGTATCTTAGGTAATTTGGACATTCAAAAGAAATAGAACTTCGTTTTGATACAACTTATCAATAAGATACCTTTTTATTAATAATTTTATTTTTGGACGAGAGAAACAATTAATTGTATAACAATATAACAATTCACTTTTATATACAATTTCCTTTTCTCTCTTCTTCTTCCTTTTTTTTTTCTGATAATTCTTCTTAATATTTCTATCCCCTTTTGCATCCAATCAGCGTATATAATATTTCCAAATAAAAATTAACGTGAATTATGGTTTAAATGTTTCTTTTGTTTTTCTTTTCTTTTTTAATTTTTTTCCCAAACTTTCTGTAATATAGGGGGGGGGGAAAAGAGGAAAAAAAAGTTCCTGTCAAATTACAATTCGAGTATATATATATTATAATATATAAATGTAAATTTTATTATTAATGAATACATAATAACTCTCTATACGCGTTAAAAGAGATATAAATTTTTTTCAATTAAAAAAAAAAGAAAAAGACTCGACGAGAATCGTCTTCCGGCATGCTTATCCTTTTTATTTTTTTCTTTCGATTGCAATAAACTAATCATCATATTCGTATTTATTTATTTTGCAGATAATTCCAATGCGACGAGCGTCAAGAGGCAGGTGACGAGGTTGGGTCACACATACGAGAGAGAGAGAGAAAGAAAAAGAAATAGAAAAAAAAAAAAACAAAAAGAAAGAAGAACAAAAAACAAAGAAATAAAAGAAGAAAACAGTAAAAATCAAACAATATCAAAGAGAGTTAGTTGAACCTGCTGGGAGGAGGACATCGGAGGACAATGATGACGTTACGATCGTTATTATTTATTCTCTTCCTGATTGGATTGGCCAGGTATTCCGAACTGGCACCAACGAGATCGAAGGATTTGTCCAACGATGAATTATCATCGTCATCGTTATTGTCATCATCTATGGGAGGGGGAACATCATCGAGAAAAGGTTCACGTGGGGGTTCATCGTCATCGTCACCGAGCGAATTAACCTGGGAAGCTTGGTTATTGGTCGATGCGCAAGCAGGTGATCACGCAAGTTTGGATTCGGCTAATATATTGAGAAAAATCACGCCGAAAAGTATATTTTTCGCACCTACACGAATCGAATGTGCTGAAGGTTATCGCGCAGATACCATGGACAGATGCGTCAAGGATGTTAAAATAGATCACGAGGCGCAATTTGATTTTTTATTGAAACGCGTCAGTGCTATGTATTTACAAAGATTCCCAACTAATGCGCAAGAACAAAAAATGAAAAATCAAAAACAATCGTCAGGTCCTCTACAATTGAGTATACCATTGTTAGGCGTACCACCACCACCACCATCACCTGCTGCTGTTGCTGCTGCTGATGGTGCTGCTACATCTTCTATTATTAATCAACAACTAATCAAGAACGAGGATGATGGGACTAATGTAAGGGTCGGAGTTTTACCATATTTGGAATTGATATCTGGTTTACGCGAGGATTAATAATAATTCATTTTATTATAATTTAATATGGAATTAATTGAAAATTTATATTGTGTTTTTATTTTTTTTTTATTTTAAATTATTAGCGAATTTGTTTTCTTTTTCTTATTATTAGATAATTCAAATTAATGTCTCTTGTTTTGGAACTTTTTTTTTTTTATTATGTCGAAATTTTTTATTTTCTTTTTTTTTTTTT